GTCTCTGAGGTGACTATGAGATTAACCGAAACGATTAATTTTCAGCACAACTCCTTTTGTAAATATTTTGAGAGTAAATCGCTGTGGGGGTCAGAGGTGTGCAGCATCTCCCGTCTACCAACGCCAGCGTTCGAGCACCTCGTCGATTCTCCTCTCCCAGCGGTAAGTGGACCGAGTTCAAGTCCTTAAGTGCCTTCCTGACCTCTATCCTTTAGCTCGGAGTTTCTCTTGCAGGAACACAGGAGATGACTGAAGAGGCGCTAGAACTGGGTGAGTCCAAGGTATAATGAGCCTGAGGAAAACCAGTCACCCATACGTCATCAGGATTGCTTTGTTGTGGAAGATGAAAAAATAAGGCTGCCCTCGGCTCACAATAGTGATCAAGGGATTCCCCCAGGCTGTTTATTCCCACCACTTCGCCCCGACTTGTCCTTACGCCAACTCCTTCCAAAACGGAAGAAGTTCGAAAAACCGAATTAGTCTTTTTGCTGGAAATTTCACACCTCTATGAGTAACACGATTTAGGTTATCACAATACGACTGTCTAGGGTTTCTGGGATAAGAGACCACGGAAGCCTCTAAAGGAAAAGATGAACGGCGTAATATTTTAAGAGCTTGAAAATGGATAAAAAAAAAGCTAACCAGGAAGGTCTTTCAGGGCGTGACAAGCTTTTTGAAAACGGTCTTTTGCATGATATAGGGGCAGATGCGGGACCACAGAACCATGTTAATTTTTCCTGAACGGCCCTCTGAATACCAGAAAAGGGGTCCCTAGTTCGATTCCTCTTGGTGACAAATTTTTGCATTTCGAGTTGACGTTCCAAAATTCGCGCAAAATGGAGTTCTGATTGTTCTGGTTGGTTCTAACTCCATTTTGCGCGAATTTTGGCACGTCAACTCGCAAAAATTTGTCCAAGAGGAATCGAACTAACACTCGTAGCGGAAATGGAGATTAGCGCAACTACAATTTGGATCATTAAAGGCAACAGCTCGACAAATTGGGCAGTAGGACGACTATTACATGAAAGTGATTAAAGATTCAAAAGAATGGAAGAGAGCGGATACAAACGGACAACAAAAGGAACTTGCATTTCCCATTGAATGATGCGTGATTGAAATGAATTTCAAATGAGCTTTTCGGAAAACGGAAGAAGACATCACTCACCCTCTGTGTCATTTCGACATCACCGAGGAACGACGCGACCTCGTAGTCATGGCCTTTCACATATTCGATCTTTCCATCTTCTACCTTTCCATAGTGCAAAACTACTCCGTCTGCGGGTGACACCTGAGAGGAGATCATTTCAAAAGCAAAATGAGTACATCACTATCAAAAAGGGTACTTTAAAAAACTTGCCAGTGAACTAGCGCTAATTGGTCTCACTTCCTTCTTCAGCTGTCGATTGAAAAAAGCCGCGAAGGATGGATACGCCTGAAAAAAAAACTCTTAAATCTATCAAGTACTATTTACTTCGACCAATTAAAGAGCTTTTGGTGAGTTACTGTGAGCTACCGTATAAGCTACCGTAACACACTGTAGGCGGAATAATGTATTTTGCATGAACAGTGAAATTTTCACTTGTTTGTTTGTTAACTGCTGTTTTTGGCCGCAGTTCGCCTTGCGAATGTTTCACAAGAATGCTGGGTTGTGAACAAAACTTTCGCCCCAGGCGGGACTAGAACCCGCACCTCTCGCTTTCCGGGCAAGTGCGCTACCAGTTACGCTACCGGGGCACCATTTCATTCCAACTCAGCTTTTCATGGTATACGTACCATAGCTTCCAAGCGCTCAGCATGCCATAGTATGATGAGTGGTTTGAGTAGTGTAGAGCTGATCATGAGTGAACTGAAATGGTTCCCAGTAAATTTCGATTGTCGAAGACCTAACAAGATGCCTACCTCTGCTTCTTGCCTGGGAACAAGACATGTCTGCGAAACGTAGAGAAAGTTGGCTGGCTCCAAAAGTTATGCTGGAAGTCACAAGTCATGGCAGGACACAGAAAACCTACGAAGGGTTCCATTCGGGATGAAAACGTGTGCACGGCGCATACTAAATTTACCACAATTCCGCCTGTGATTCCCCCTCAGTTCTTTAGCTACGTCATTTCCATTGCTTGCAGACGGACGTAAATGAAAAACTTTCTAACTAATGTGAATGCAGTTTTCAACGCGTTACTTTTTTACTTACAACATTACAACACGGCTGTCTGTCGTCATTGGACAAAACATCTTTGTTGTCCAATGACGACAGACAGTCTTGTTGTAGCCTTTCTCCCTTTATAATTCTGTGTACTTCGTTTTCACTTAAATGATCCCTCTTTTCCACACCTCCCATCACAGACCAATACAGACAATGATCTGTGGTGGCAGAAACCCGTTTATGGTGAACTTCAAAGGAACCAAGGAAAGAACATGTGTTTTCATCTACATCGTACAGTTACTGATGTGATCATAAAAATAGCTCTTCTCGTTGATGAAAACCTGTTTCTGCAATGCTGAATGCCGCTGATCCGAATTGGGCCACCCAGTTGGTGGTAAAATACAAGGTCGTCTTAAATGACATCACTGGACCAGTTTGCCGAACATTAGCCTGGCGGCTCTGTTTTTCGGCGTAAGGTGGCGTAGCATTATCGCGTTCTCTGACGACTTGGGAACAAAGCGAGTTCACCGCTACCCAGCACGTGGATCCCCCAATATATCATGGATGTTCAAGAAGCGGTTATCTGTGGGCGATGTCTACAGCGTCTAGTTGGACTGATGGTAAATACGGTCTTAATCTAACAACTGTCACTCATGAGAAGCTGGTCAGGAGTGCTTAGCTTAACAACCACGGTCAATCTCCTTTATGATACCGCTCTATCATAGGGGTATTCTCGATCGCCTCCGAATCGTTCTATGGTGATCCAGGCCCCTCCTCTGCACTTACAAGGGAGGTCTTTCAGGGCAAGCCACGCTTTTTCAAAACGGTTTCTTGCATATTGTAGGGATGCATGTAGGGAACACAAAACCATGTTTCATTTTCGCTGAACGGTTTAGCAGTAAAAAAGAAGCATAAGGTTGATATCCCCGTGGCGACTAAATTTTGCATTTGGGTTGGCGCCTATTGGTGCCAAATCGCGCTAAATGTCAAAATCAGATGTCAAATTCATCGTCAGGACCATTTTGAAGCCAACAAGTGGCCGCCAACCTTGATTGCAAAATTTAGTCGCCGCGGGGGATCGAACCATCAAGGTATCATTCACCACTTTTTTGATACTACTAAAACCGTTCAGCGAAAACGAAACATGGTTTTGTGGTCCATACATGCGTCCCTACAATATGCAAGAAACCGTTTCCAAAAAGCGCGGCTTGCCCTGAAAGACCCCCCTTGTTAGTGTAAATGTATAGGAGGACACTGCTGATAGACAATTTACCAAGGTGTCACCAAATACGGAAACGAATTCGTAGGGACTGACTTGGACTGACGTCTTGCAGGCAAGCTCGAGGGTTTCCAGCATGCTATCAGGGTCTTAACGGCAAGTATAACCGTGAATGCCCCTGAAAGCGATGCTACCCTCTAGCGATTATCAATCCACAGCGTCAAGGATATTATTAAAAACCCATCCACTGAATTTTATGGAATCACGCAAGGCCGGCTTTCGCCATCGATATGAAGGAAGCGTTGTATGCAAGGTTATAACTCAGACCTCATTATTAATTTTGCAAAGCTATTTAAAAAAAATGCATAAGTGAATTAGAACTGGTTCATCATTACGAAACAAAAAAAGAAAGAAAAAAATGTTAAAATGCATCGACTTACTCGAAAATCCGATTGCACAGCTTCATCCATTCGACAGTCATACATACGGGCGAAGAATCCGAGCAACGGTTCACGCAACCATACCGGAATCTCTCGATTCGCTATACCTCCAACCAAGCGGGAAGCGGCATTGAATGGTAATGATAGGTAAGTTCGAATCTGAAAAAGCCCTAGAAAGTAAATAGGCAAGAATAAAGGACCAACTAAAACAGACATAAAACCAAGTATTAGAGTATTTATTTTGTGAAATCTTGAACAGGGACCATCTCCAGACGATGGAGAGAATCCTGTAAACCAGGGATAACATGAAAGCTGTTTTTCAAAGCAGTTTCCACATTTTATAAGGGCGCGCTCATGGTCCACACGGCTTCAGTCCGACATTTTTTTCTGAGCAGTAATGGGAGCGCAACTAAACACAAACGAAGAAAAAAATCATGAATCATGTTTCGATCCTCCATGAAGACGAAATTCTGCATTCGTCAATATTCCATTTTCTTGTGTACCATTTCGCTATCCCTTCATTTTGACTGAGAAAGGTTAACTTCTTTTTCGGAATTCTCAGAGCGGTTCAGGAAAAATAATTTCAAAAATGTAAGTTCTGTGACAAAAAGACGCGCCAATTGCATGAACATGCCCGTATGAGAAAGCGTTCCAGTCACAACGACCTGCGCTTGGTAAACCTCAACAATAGCCCTGCACCAATATCAAAACAAATGCAATGAGAATATTACATTTTCATGACCATTCACATTCTTCCCCGAAAGAATGGTAATATCCCACGAAATTGCCTTTTCTCTATCCCATTCACAAAGACAGAGAACACTTCACGGCGCCTTTCGCGGCGTATACGAAAAAGAGAACAAAAGGCGTTCGCCAAACAGATTATAGCCCATTCAACTGTCACTACTGTGTAGATCACGGACGCGCAATTGTGCAGTCAATTTGAAGCTACGGTAATCAAGCCAGAGATACGCGCAAATATTGTTTGGAGTAGACTTCCAAAAGGTGGTTGTTGTTAATGACGTTCTTGTGAAATCTACAATCAGCAGATAGACATGTTTAGTCCTCTCTACGAGAAGGATCGCTGATTTGAACGCAACATTCTTGACTGATGATTACCGAAGTAAGCAAACCAATCCTATTGGCGAAGCTGCTGGACCTAGTTGCACCACTTCGTCATCATTCTTATGTTACGACGGAAGTTTCCGAGTGCGTTCGACCTCGTGAGGGCGCCATCCCCCCAATTTCCAGCATATGCGCCGCCACGAGAAACGGCCAAAGAGCTCGGTTTGTGACTATGATTACCGTAAACCAACGGGTTACGATGATACCCGTAAGTATGGCGTCAGGTTTGGATACCACGAGCATTTCACCGGTAGTGAGAAGTCCCTGCCGACGTGACGTTGCCGCGTTATTCACGTATCTCTCACGTTCCACTCTCGAGCGCGGATGTCTTCTTCCACAAACACAAGCGCCACCGTCGACAGGGTAACTCAGTGTTCTTGTTTAAGGTGTTTTTTTTTTTTGTTTTTTCTGTCCCAGTGACGTTCTAGATCTTCTTGTCTTAATTTCGAACAAACTAAACGGAAGGGTTCGTTCCCCGATTCGTGTTCTTCGGAAAGGAAAAATAAAACTCGATGACTAGAGGAAGTGCGAAGCCAAGCATGGAGTCAAAAAAGCGCTTTTCAGGAAGGAAGACCGTGCGATGTGACTCCTAAGTTCCAAGAAACTGCTTGATTGGTTGATCCTTCAGTTATATTAGCGCTCTGGATTAATGCAAAAAGCAAAAAATGTACTGTGCGATGCGAAGCCTAATTAGAAAATAGGAGCTAGAAAGAAATTTAACATATACTAAAATTCTATACCATAATTGATTTCAAGATAAAAAAAAGAAATATGAACCTTTCTCTTTGCAGACGGTCTTCATTTCTACACTAGACTAACCATACTTAGCAAGGCGGCAAGCCCCAGTTCATTTAGATAGCACTAACCTAACCGCAAACTGAAGGTAGCGCCGTCGAAAAGGATAAGGAGGATGACAAATGATGGAGTGTAGAGGAGAGTTATGAGAGAATGATTTACAAAAGCCGGAGGGCCATCGAGACATTTAATTACGATCAATCATGCATTGCTATGCATCGAAACGGAGCCGTGAAATTCAAAAAAAGTCGTGAGAGAAGGAACAACGGTCAAACACATGTTCAAATCATCATGGCCTAGTCCGTCTTCACAACAAGCACCGTAACATGAGGACGTTCAGCTATCATTACACTTAATGCTTCATCATGACTCATCCCCGTGTCCTTGTACTCTGGAATCGCCACCTATTTAATCGTTCACCGCTGATCATCTTCAAAGCGTTGCGAGCTAATCGAGTGTGACAACGTCCGGCAGTGGAACTGGTAGAGAATGTAGAGATTCTCAACAGTTCTCTAACAGTTCGGCTCATTGTCAGCATCAATGATCACACGGGAAGATTCAATGGCGTCAAGAGAGAAGCCATTGAAGTGCTTCTCCTACCTTCAACTGAACAACGAAGGCTGCATTCACTGAGAACCTCCCAGTGACTCGGCGACTTGTTCAATTCATAGACCTTACTAGTAAAGCCGAAAAATTACGATTCAGTAAGGTTTCTCCGATGCCATTTCTACTAATCACGACTACATAACACCTGATGGACCTACACCCAACAGGTGAAAATGACCCCAACGAAATCTCTTGTGAGCCGACAACTACCTCCAAGATTCTTCCCAGGAAACTTTACTGTATCGTTCAATCCGGCCACAAATGCTTATCACTTATATTAAGACGATGGAAAATGTTCAAATGAAGGCTCTTTGGTCGTTTCTTTCGACTATTTCA